ATATACGAATTTTGAGTTGATGCACCTCCCAGAATTGCAGATTGGTTTACCTTCCAGCAACAACAGCAGCAATCTTACAGTACAGTATACCCCAACAAATGACAGAAATGTGAATGCAAGAATGGTGCAGTCCAATACAAGTTGAAACTTCAAACTCATTTATCTCAAACCTGATATTTAGAGTTGTGCAACTATTGCAGCCCACAAACGATATGTATTTAGTGCTGAATTTTGGTACTGCAGCACATCACTTATAAACGAACTATTCCCATTTTTTAAATAAAAACTCTGGCATTTTGAGGGTGGCTCTTTGCTCCGGTGCAGGTGATATGAGTCTTCTAAAAGCTCGCATGTGGGATGGCAGTTGCGAAAGGCGGATTTGCATCTGGGCCGGATTCCGTGGGATGAAGTGCAGGCGTGCGTGAGCGTTCGGCCGCTGCAGGCGGCGCGGAACCGGCCGCGCTTCGAGGGAGGGCCCCTCGCTCGCGAAGACCTTGCCGGCGGCGGCGGCGACGGCCGAAGCAGCTGCAACCGGCGCGGCGCGGCGCCTTCAGAGGCCAGGGCAGGGACGCGAGTGGTCGCGCCGCCACTAGTGATGCGACAAAATATCCATGTTGCCAGATATAGATGTTAATAATTCATCGACCAAAAGAATCAGTTTTTAAGTATCGATGACTATTTAAAAGCTGGTTTAGAAACTTCAGTTCGATGAAATAACAATTAGTCATTGGATTGATTGTTAGTGGTACCATCGGGCGCGTCAACTGATAAGGTCATTAGTATCGTAAGTGTAGTGCATAGTTTGTCCTCGTTAGGTGGCTGTGATTTCCCCCCACCCCGGGATGGCGAGATCCGGCGCCGACCTACCGTCAGCTAGCGAGGTTTTCTCCAACCAGGCATCTCGCAACAGCACGGCACCGCCCCAAGCTCTAAGCTCCCGACCGGCATGTGTAGAGGTGTAGTGCATGTTAGTGTAAGTGTGTGTAAGGAAGGAGTGAGTATAGGGCAAAGAAGGGGAAAGATTGTGCGCGGTTCGTGTCCCGTGTGTTTGGGCACTGCTCCGGCATTCGCCTGGTGTTGATCGGAGAAACAAAGGAGAAACACCTACAAAGCAGCCGCCCGCTAGAATTCCCCTTCAGACGGAATGAATTCAACCTAGCTAACATGCTAGTGTTGAAAATCCTGCCACTGTCGGGACTCGAACCAAGGATTTTCCTGTCAAAGGCACTGCAGTGACATCAGTTGATGCCCTGAGCCATCTCTCGCGGTTTATTCGTTGGAGTTTAGTAAGAGTTTGAGGAAGAAAACCCAAAGAGGGATCCGAAACTGTTCTAAATTGTGGGCGGCATACTCAGCTCTGCCAATATGTTCGTAGACCTTATACTGTTCTTCCGTATCATGTTGGTTTAAATTATTTGCGAGTAAGGCGCGGGCGAAGGAGGCGCGGGCGAAGGAGGCGCGGGCGAAGGAGGCGCGGGCGAAGGAGGCGCGGGCGAAGGGGAGCGGAAGGCGGAAAGATCTCGTGCGACGGTGCGGGCCGGACGCCGCGAGGCCGCACTCTGCTCCCAAATGGGCGAAAGGCGCGCTTGGAGACGTGAGGAGGTAAAAAAATAATTAGCCTACCTAGAAATGGTTAAATGGGAGAGGCTCGGCGTCCTGAAGTGTGCGTTCTAGCATGAGAATGAATGTTTTCAAGGGAGGATGCAAAATGGCCTTGAGTCGTGTCCCTATTACGAGGCCTTGAAATGTTTAAATATGAATAGTAAATTTACTTTTTACAATACTAAAGAAATTTTATATAGTCTCATTCAATATTTTAAAGTCAAAAATAAAATGTACAACGACTACTATGAAGCTTTTCTGTAAATAGTACTTCTAGTCTCACATGAGCCCTTGTCTTCTTGCTTCATATGGGACTTATGTTTATATATTTGTTTGTATCGGTTCGTGAGTATTTTGCAGATTAGATCTTTCAGTTTCAGCCTAAACCAATGAAGTATAAATTAATCTTGATTTCTTAAATTACTTGTGAGCGTAAGAAACATTTTGGCATTTGGAGTTTTAAGTTGCTAATCGCATTGACAATAAAAATAGAATGCCGATGAGTGAAACTATTTTCTCAAATTGCAACTTTTTGAATATAAGGACTTTACTTCTAATTTATTACACGAGCCGTGTTAAAAGTTGCTAGAATATTTCAGACTGTTCCAGTTATTTCTCTTATTACGAAAAATCATATGAGATATTTTAAAATTTATTTTTAGTTGCATCAACAGTGTGGTTATTAGCGACTTTTGGTTTCATATACAACAGTTGAAAAATATAACAGTAAAGTTGCAATCATCTTACAGTTGTAATTTCAATTCAGAAGCATGTGGGGTTTAAATAGTATTAAATGGATATTTTATCTTTATTCTTGGTGACCGACCGTCTGGCTTAACAATGGTTTTAAAGTTTACAGTAATTTCCTAATATCTAAAACATTATAGGACTGTACGTTTGTGACACACTAAACCATTTATTACATACGTGGACAATAATTAAACATTTTATATGTGATTTATTAATAGTTACTTATGTTAACATAAGTAGTTGCTTTTTATCTAAGTGAATTGTTTAGATATAGTATTTTATATTTTGTTTTATATATTTATGGTTGGCGGAGTTTGTTTTTGGAAAGTTAGTTTGCTTTTTAGGCGGGCAGAACGGCCTGTTTTATTTAAGAACTAAGAAAGGAAGTAAGGAGAGTGTGAAGTTTTGGGGATAGAATCTTATTATTAAGTGAAATATTTTGTAATTAACCTTCACTGATCCCTAAAGTGGGCAATGCTTCTTGCAACTAAGTTCTGTTTTGCCACTACGTGGGAAACTCTGACTGCTCGGCGTGACGGCTTGTCCAATCCCAACGACCTCTAGGGCAATTGCCTTTTGTCGTTGGTTTTGTCTCCATTTCATGTACCTCTCCCTTTACCTCCTGAAGAGTTGCCTTTCTCTCTTTTCCCTTTCAGTGAAGCAGGCGGGGCTTGAAGTTTTAAAAAAAAGTACATGTATAACTTTACACACACACACACACACACACACACACACACACACACACACACACACACACACACACATATATATATATATATTAATGACACATTAAATAAAACTTAACGTATCTCTACTACAGAGGTTGAGGACACCATGATGGCACCTCATAGGATCTATTCTAGATCTGAAAACAATTTTCAAACTATGTGGTATCGATATTTATTTTTGATGCCAGTAAGATGGGTGGGGTTTTTGCAAAGTTTGAATGAAGATAAAATTTGGATATGGTGTATATTAGAGAAGAAGTTGTGGGATAGGTAGATGATGTGGTGTGTGATGGGATCGATATTGAATTCATTGTGTAATTGATGATTAGATATGAACCAGGATGCATTCGTGATTGTACGGAGGAATTGGTTCTGTACTATTTGAATTATGTTGATGTTTGTTTTTGCAGCATTGATCCATACTGGGCAGGTGTAGAGAAGAGTAGGTCTGATATTGTTTTAATAATGTGATTGCTGTTTTGTATGGGAGGTAATTATTCCTATTTATTAGAGTTTTTCATGATGCATTTTGTTTTAGTTTGTATTATTTTGAGTCTGTGTTTGTTTCTCGTTTATTTTGGTGTCCATGTGCAGTCCAAGATATTTAATGGACCTATTTGGGGGTACCATGGATGGCTCATTTAAGGCGCTTTTAAAGAGAATATGTTTGCTGCAGTTTTTGTTCGGATTTAATTTATTTGAATTTGAATGCCTAACTGTCTATTTGGTTAGATACAATTGTATGTTGTTTTGAATATTAGAGAGAGTGGAAGAGAGAGGGGAGTGAATAGAGAGTGGTTAGAAGAGAAGATAAGTGTTGTCATCTGCAAACTGTGCTGTTTTTACTGTTTCTATCTATGGGGATGTCTGCTACATAGAGATTGACATATGTGGGGACCTGTGTGAATTATGTACGAAGATTTAGTACGGGGAAATGTTTAATTGAAATGGTGGATATTTGAACTCAATCCCTACCAAACGTAGCATATGGAGAAGATTTTAAAACAATTCTCTAATAGTTCTTTATATTTTTTATGATAACTTTTTAAAGATCAATCCCTGCCTTACTCATTAACACTTCACATCTGACTTCATATGTGACAATGAATGAAGCAACTCTCATATTAACTTTTTCTTAGTTAATGAAAACTAAAGTCTGTGTCTAAGTAATTCAAATGATTCATAATTTCATTCAATTGAATGAGAATACATTTCCTAAAGAAGAGAATAATGTACTTGTATATGCGGGAAAATCACAAGCGATCAATTGTGTGAGAACGTTTTTCTGAGGGGTACAATACAAATGTATCTGTTCATAACCTTGCTTAGCATGACCAGTGCGTTGAGTCGGTCGGGCGTACAGAGTGTTTTCCCACATCCTGTCTTACACAAGAGCGTGCCTCCCACAGGAGCCATATCTCGCCGCGTCCAGACGCTCTCATTGACCGCGCTCATGACTGCGCCGCTCTGAGGGCCGGCTGGCCCATTATGATCAGGCGCAGGCGGGGCTACGCTTCGTTCACACTTCCCGTCTCGAAGGCAGCTAAGGGGGCGACGCCCGCCCCCGCCAGGGCCCCTCCGGGCCCCGCCCAG